AATAATAGAGATTCAGCTCAGCTCTCTTTGATCTTCACGAGATGTATAACATCTATAATAGCACCACACCACCACCCGTCCATCATGGTAAGTGGCTTTCCTTAATAGTCTGATATCTTGTACTTGTGATCTTCATCATTCCTTTATTACGAACAGGCGATGGCATTCTGTTCCTTTACGAGTGGTTAATAAAAGACTTTAGAAGACTCATTTATATTGGCTTTATCACGTTTTAATTTCTGTCTCCTTAATGGACTTCTCTGAGAAGAACTTCCATTAGGACGCGCGATCGGAATCGAGGTGGTTCAGACGTGAGAGCGTTCCGTAGAGTAATATGCGGAATTACTCTTTTGATATGATAGTATAATGGCGTTGGGGTTTTATAATTGTCGTCTAGGAGCAGATGTGAGTATAGTAAGTGAAGGTGGGATGAGATAACTAGAGACAAAGGATACTTGACCAGATTTAAAGATCAGTAGAATAGACAGGAGATTGAAAGTTTAAGACCTCTGGTAAAATAGATTGTGTTAATTGGGTGTTATGTTTTCAGCAACATGTTCTTGTAGCTCACTGGGCGAGGAAATCCCTGCTCAGCCGAGCCGTATAAGGATTCTGCGAAGCCCGGCAACCGTAACTCTAGAAAACTTATTAATAGATAATCTAACCTTGTTACTTTAGAATACCTTTTTCAGGATCATCAGGATACACTGAGGTGGACCGAGCGAGCAGAAGAGACGCTCAGTATGCCATGCAAGCTTACCCGCGCCAGCGATTTCAGTCGCTACTGCATTTCCAACGCTAAACCAACTATCAAATTAACTTACAGCATGCTTCAGAGAAAGATGCGCATCACTTCTTATTGGAGTACGGAATTAACCTAGATTACTCACCGATGATCACTAATGGTGCATACGCTTTTTTCTCTCGCAGTTATGCTTGCAATAGGATACTTGCAGTGGAAGGGGATGGCGTCAATTTAACCACATACATCACTATATGATAGATATGTTGATTTCCACTCTCTCATATGCATCAATGCCATGAACAGAGCCGATACTTAGCAAATGTAATTGAACCAGCAAGGGAGACATATCGCTACTACTCACACAATTCAGCCTGATGACGTGGAGAGAGAGAAGGAATACTCATTTGACGGAATTATTATACCGGTTGGCGTACCTTGTGATGCTAGTGGTGGGCCGACTGCGAAAAGCAACCCAGAGTTAATCAACCAGATATCTGAAATCGAGGGCGCGGCTGCTAGTTGACCACCAGTCAGGGTCGTCTCTCGGATTAAATCCTTCTCATAGATTCTCTGTCCGACCATAACTCCGACGACTTGAGTATAGTTAGACCACGTTACTTTGTTACAGTTATATACACGAGTGGACTTCATACCTTTGATGTACATACTTTTAGGTGAACGATTGGCGCATGAAGTTTGTATACCTCCATAAAAAAGACACAAAAAGAAACCATCATTAGAACCAAGTGCGACAGAGGATGCTTTACTGCGCTGCACCACCCACCACCCATACATTCCAGACGACTCATCTACTCAATCTCGCCTTCCTAATACCTGCGATACTTATCTCGAGTGTGAGCCCGGCCAGTCGCATCCTACTCGCGACGTTACAACCCATATTTCAGCAGAACAGACGCGTCAAACCCCAAATTCTTTGTGTCATGTTCGATTGCTACTTGCTTCAAACTCAGAACCTACGGGCTCCAACCTTCATGAAATTTGAATAATTCACAGTCTTCTAACCTTAAACTCCTACCCTCGAACAGTGAACTTCGTAGCGAACAACAGCTGCCGATGGAAGATCATTACGATAGAGCACATTCTGTTACCATTTCTTCTCGTCTCGATCCTGAGAAGCCTGACACTCTCCTCGCCACTGCTATAGCTATAATATGAATCTACTTTATACTCAATAAAGGTTATCTGGGATGAACAACCAAATTGAACCCAGTTGATACTGCATGTTAAACCGCCGTCAGCATGATACAAACACTCACGATAGAAGACCAACAACAGCCTGTCCAGAGGCAATCAGAGGCATCGATAAACTCAATCATGATTGCACCGGACTCATGAGACGACCCATGACCCAGAGTGAGGATCAATGACACTGCCACACTCACCCCTCTGAACGGGAATTCAAGCAACAAGCTTGTCAAACATGCAAGGTGACTCATTAATCCTAAGTTGTAAGTCAGCACAAAGACTGCTCTTCGCCCGAGGATCACCTTATCCTTCGCTCATTGATTTGTTCACTTCGTCATAGGCAGGGGGACTTCATAGCATACCGAGGCACTCCTTGCTCGGTGGAGGGGATTTACCACCGCTGAGGGGTCCCACAGAAGGCCTGTCAAGGTGAAAGTCTTCATGAACGAGTCAAGAGTTTTAAACAAAGACAATAAAAAAAAAGCGACCACAAATACCCCAAAGTACGATTAAGACCAGGTGTTGATTTGTCTCCCGACGGAGTCGGTGCTAGTTCTGCACCCAGTTAAACCTGATAACTGGAACGTAGAACGGTGAACGAGTCCATTAATCGCAACCAGTAGGAGGGGGCAGGCGATGCACCACGACTACGCCTCAACCCGTTGTGTCTCAACATGTTCAAGTATCTTTTCTCAGGGTTTTTAAAATATTCAGTTTTCACACCTTCCGACCGTATCATACCGCCACTAACGTCAACCATCAGCCTTTTGCTCCACATGGACCGTGCCAATAAGACTCTGTACAACAATAACGACCCACGATACATTCATGTGGATATGTGTAGGCTGGGTGCAACTACGCTTGCTTCTTTTCCTATTTAGCTGCCTCTTCTCCTCCTCCGCGAGTACAATAAACAACAACACCACTACACCACAACCGTCAACGCACTTAAGCTCAGGCTGCCGCACTCATCTCAATCCATGGCACGATAAACTCAGACCGCTTCACAGCTCCCAACTGGCTAACGACACTGTCGAAGGGACCTGTCGTTAGCCCAGAAGATGCGATCAAATGCCTGACACCATTCTGTATACCAGATCCTGTAATCCTTCCTTTGGTAAACCGAGGAGAATCCACTTACACTTTATATACAGCCTCTCCTCAGACAAACCCCTATCTAATGAAGCCACAACTCCACCAGAGTGTAATCTTGCTCCTAAACCCTATCCAGGTAGCCTATCTCGCTTCTAACAAGCTCACTTTTCAGGGTATAAAAACCTACACCTATCTTCTATTAATAGATGCTTGCACTTGCTTCCTCGTCTTCTAGCCCTTCTTGACCGATTGTTTTAATCTCTGAGTTCCAGGTGGAGTTCACAGGGCGGACAGCCTGGGTATAGAGGATCGGAGCTGTTATGTCAGGTGTGTGGTAATTCCTAATGGCGCACCTCCACAACCAGTCAGGAGTACGGGCCGTTACCAGTTATTATTTACTCCCCTTTAACTCTGAATATACATCCATGGAGCCGCAAACAAATAGTCTAATTTACCCCTTGATTATGTGGGCAAATACTGCGATCCCGCCTCACCAATGAAACAACACCAACCCAGATACAACCCATGCACTGTCCGCTTCTAACAACGTCTCTAATTCACTCTTTTCTCATTTTCTCTTCTATTGTTACTTGAAATCCTTCGCGTCGTCAACGATCCATCTTTGTCCACCCCTTTCCATGTAAAGAAATGCTTTAAAATCAAACATAATAAATAACTACTCATCTCTACCACCACACACTCGACGATGTGACATACAATGCTAAAATAACTTCAAGCACCAACCCACAAATAGTGAATCGCTATTCAAAACACTATATAGCGATCATACTCAGCCTACGTGATCATAGAAATAACCATACACTGCACCTCGCTGACTCATACCCCACCACCACGCGCGCTCCCGAGCATCCCACACCATGGTACCAAGTTCGCATGGGCACCTAAATAAGGCCTCCTACCAAATCCACCAGGTACAGCCTGGCCCTTCACCCCCTCGTTCTCTTCTTCCTCCGGTCGCGTCTTCCCTGACCACTGTGTCAACCCTCGACCTACGTAGGATGAACATTGTATCGTTTCTGTTATATTTTTATCAATTTATTTATTCAATTTATTTTTATAATTCATCTTCTTAATATATTTATGTCTATCCAAACATAGCACATCAATCTTTTTAAAGGGCATGTTCGCCTGCCTTGTTGTGAATTGAGAATCCCTAAACCTCATCTTATCATTCGTTGACAAATAATATCTACCAACATAACATTCTAAATTTTCACTTTTATGAAACGCACCCAAGACCACACTCCGTTTA